AAAAAATTTCTTTCCTGTTTTAAGAGCATATTATCAAGAATCTAGAGACTAGGGGCTAGGAAGCTGGCTCAGTGGTAGAGTGCTTGCCTTGTATGCATGAGGTCCTGGGTTCAATTCCTCAGTACCACATAAGCAGAAAAGGCCAGAAGTGGCACTGTGGCTCAAGTGGTTGAGCATTAGCCTTGAGCTTAAGAGCTGAGGGACAGCGCTCCAAACCCAGAGTGCAGGCCCCACAACCAACAACAACAACAAAAAAATCTAGGGACTAAATTTTAGAGATAAAAATAATCTTGAAGATTGTCATATCAATTAAAAAAAAGGATATAACAAACATCACACTATTGCAAAGATTGTCCTGGAATATACTTAGTGGAGGATGGTTAAGCATGGATCTGATTGTCTGTTTTTGGTTTTTGACACTGCTCCTTCACTCTGGAGTAGGTTTGGTGGGGAGCTTAGGGACTTGAGCCTAGCAGCAGCGGCATCGGGCAAGGGAGGCACCCGAACAGCGAGTGCTGGCCCAGCAGAGGGCCACAGATGTTGCAACCACAGAGTTGAAATTGGATGAAAAGAGAACTGACTTAACACTGCAAGAAAGCTTCAGACTGTCAACACTTGTTGGTGTGTGAGGTGATTCATAGTTCTATATTTCATTTTAATATAGCCCTGGGCTTTGAATTCAAGGGCCTCATGCTTGTGAGGCAAGAACTACCAGCTGAGTGTGCCAACTGAGGCCACTAATATTGAACATGACGAGAGCAGTACCAAACCCAACAGCTGATGTGAGCAACACATGTGAAGAAAGCCCTGCACTGTGGGGCATGAGGCACTGAATAAAGCGTACACACATAGCACCCAAGACCAGTTCATTTCAAATCACTTATTCTATCAATACATGAAATTCCCCCACCTTCTGCCAAAGACTACCAAATGTCAGAATGCAAGTAGGAGGAACCAGAAACAAACGCATTTAAAACTTGTATGCAAATGATGGTAAATGAAGTGCAGGAGTAATTACCTCATCTTGTAGTGACTCTTCAACCTGTTCATCATAGTCTTCATCTTGTCTTTTAACTAAAACAACACCCAAACAAATGTTTATAAATGGTCACTAAGGATATCAAGGATTTCTCAGAAATAAAAGCACGACAAACTTACCCTGCCGTAATTCTTGATTTTTAAAATGTTCTTCAAGCTTTGCCTTCAATATGCCCCCGAGTTCTTCGAAGTGCTCGTTGTTAAGGCATCCGTCTCCCATGACTTCAATGCACTAATGGGTCCAAGACAGAGAGCACCCATAAGAGGCAAGGGATTGTAACTGAAAGTTTCCTTGCATTAAGGCACAAGACTGGGAAATAGGGATGCAGTTGAATATCCTAGAAGATGACTGGTTAAGTAAATAGATACGTAGTTACAGAAGAGCCTTTTTTATTGATTGGTCGTGGGGCTTGAACTCCGGGCATGGGCACTGTCCCTGAGCTCTTCAGCTCAAGACAAGTGCTCTACCACTTGAGTCACGGTGCCACTTCTGGTTTTCTGGTGGTTAATTGGAAATAAGAGTCTCATGGACTTTCTTGCCCAGGCTGGCTTTGAACCATGATCCTTAGATCTCAGCTTCCTGAGTAGCTAGGATTATAGGTGTGAGCCACCATACCTGGCATGAGGAGAGCTTTTTGAAGAGAGGTTAGAAACATCCCTTTCAAATGTGTACCAGGAACATTATCCTGTTTCTCGAGCATTCCAAGGTGGAGAAGACAAAGCCAGCTCCCAAAGAGCAAGATTCCTATGCCCTCAACCCAGTGCAAACATGAACTGAACAGAGGGTAACAAGTGTCCGAAAGGGTAGGGCAGGTGTGTGGGGTGGAGGCAAGTGGTTTGGGAGGAGTCATGAAGGCATTCACTGGAAGGGAAGAAACTGAACTGCAGGAATATAAATGATGACAAAGGGAAGAACCCTTACAGCCTTGGAGCATGCTAGAGAACTGTGTATGTGGATGAGTAGGGAAAGGACGCAATAGCTACAAAGAAGGAAATAGGAGGAAAAGAAGAGGGATTTCCAAGTTGCTCATGGTAGCATGTACCTGTAATCCAGATTGGGAGACACTGACATAGGAGAATCAAGCTTGGCCTGGGCCACATAGTAAGACCCAACCCCCAAAAGAAGTTCTGCAGTAGACTAACTGAAGCTATTGACAGCACAAACCAGGCAACCAGGGCCAGTGAATGGGATAGAAAGTAGCCTGAATTGCCAGTAGTGTTCAGATGGGTACAGTAGTGGGACTGAATACACTGGAATTTGTTTTGTTTCCAAGGAATGCACTCACAGTGCCTCCGACCCTCTGCGGTTATGACCTTCCAGGGCAGACTTACCACTTCTCCAATGCACACTCCTAAACAAACAAAACATTAACATATCTTCAGTGGACTGAACGTTCAATAAAGCAATTACTTACATTATACCATACTTAAAAATCCCTGGCTTCCATTTAGTTTCTTAAGTAAAACTAGTATTAATCACTACCTTACCAATGTTAGGGGAAAATATTGTAAGAAAAATGTATTCCCACCTTTGCGAAAGAATGCATGATTTCGGAGAGGACGTCCGAGTCTGGTTCAGTGCCGATGGCCTTGATCAGAGCATCACACATGAAATGCCACATCTGTGTGAGGTACTCAGGACCACGGACTCTGGCACATTCCAGAAGAAGAGGCATGGACTCTGCCGCCGCCACTCGAACACGTTTTGGTGTTAAGGAAATACAATCACTAAATGACTCCCAAAGGCACCACCTCTGGCCTTTTCTGTTTATGTGGTACTAAGGAATGGAACCCAGGGCTTTACGCATGCTAGCCACATTCCCAGCCCCATTTCACATTTCTTTTCTCATGATTTTTGTCACAAGGTGAAAGGAATAAAAATACATGCAGAGAACGAGTATATTATCCCTGCACCTACAGCTACTGTAAACACAAACAATATGGTGATGTATGCTTCAGGTCACACAAAGTAACAAGTTAATTATACCCAATCTAGCCATGTTTTGCAGTCCATGGTCAAAGGATATCATCATGGAAATAAAATTTCAGTAAAGGAACCATCAGTTTGACCACCTGCTCAGTGTATTCCACAAAACCTTCCTTTAATTCCTTCGCATAGCAAACCTGAGAACCAAAACATTGGAAAAGCAATCAAGATCCATTTATAGCCTTTTATTATCCCTTCAGTGCCAGAGGTCAAACACAGCTCTTACAGGTACAGGCAGGCACACCAGCACTGAGTGATATCCCCAGCTCTTGTTAACAAGGGCCCCATCACATTCCAACTCCACTGGAGTACAACTATATTTAAAGCAGCAAGTAGGACATTCAAGTAAGCCTCAATTTTAAAATCAATATAGATATCCTGGAATCACCTGTTGGGAATGCTCTTTTTAGTGTGATAAAGGGAGCAACTAGAATAAGGTATAAACGTGTGGAGATTTAACTAACAATGAAATCTCCTCCTGTGTAACTAAGCCAATTTAAAAATGCAATTAAAGCTAGAGGTGTGGTTCAGATAGTAGGGTACCTGTCAATAAGCACTGGCATCAGATAATGAGTTTGAGTCCTACAAAAAAAAAAAAAAAACAACAACAAAAAAAAACAAAGGCTGGAATACATTGTATTCATAAACTGCTTTGCTGACTGAATTGTAAATCCTTTGTACAACTACTAGAAGATACTTAAAAAAAAAAAAAAGCTGGAATAGAACTTGTATTTCTCATTGTATTTCTCTCCTAATTATTACCTAATATATTCTAAAAACAGAAAAAAAAAAAGCTGGAATAGGTACTACCCGTGAGATATTTAGAAAAGTTTCAATGGGGGGAGGGGTGGGAGATGGGAAGGGGGAAACAAAGGAGGAGGCAACAATGCTTGGTAAGAAATGTACTCATTACCTTGCCCATGTAATTGTAACCCCTCTGTATGGTATTTTCACAATAAAAAAAAAGAAAAAGAAAAAAAAAAAGGAAAAGTTTCAATAGTTTAAAATCTATTTAAAACAAAAAATGTCGGTTTTTGGGCTGGGAAGGTGGCTCAGTGGTCGAGTGCTTGCCTTGCATGCATGAGGCCCTGGGTTCGATTCCTCAGCACCACATAAGCAAAAAGAAAAAAGCCGGAAGTGGCGCTGTGGCTCAAGTGGTAGAGCGCTAGCCTTGAGCTGAAGAGTTGAGGGACAGCGCCCAGGCCCAGAGTTCAGGCCCCACGACCGGACCCCCCCAAAAAAAAAATAAATAAAAATAAATAAATAAAAAAAAATGTCGGTTTTAAGAGCACAAAACCTGAAAACTGCTGGGTACTGGTAGCTCTTGCCTATATCCTAACCCTACTCGGAGGCTTAGATCTGAGGACTGAAGTTCAAAGCCAGCCTGGGCAGGAAAGTCTGTGAGACTCTTCATCTCCAATTAATCACCAGAAAACTGGAAGTGGTGTTGTGGCTCAGCGGGTAGAACATTAGCCTTGAGCAAAAACCCGCAGGGACAGCACCCAGGACTGACACAAATAAAAAACATCAACAACAACAAAGAAACAAAAAAACCTGACAACTTAGGTAACTGTAGTATATTACTTACTTTGCAAATCTTGTAAATATTTTGTACTATTGTTTTAGAGATTTCCCAGACTGGCTACTTACTACTTGGCTTATTGTGCTTCAGACTACTGAGTAGCTGAAACTATATGAGTGAACCACAGTGCTTGGCTTATGTATGTATGTCTGTATGTCATGGTGCTTGAACTCATAGCCAGGGTGCTGTCCCAGAGCTCTTTTGCACAAGGATAGTGAGTGGCTCTACCACTTGGAGACATGGTACCACTTGGGTTTTTTTTTTTTGGTGGTTAATTGGAGATAAGTTTCACAGACTTTTCAGAGCTAGGTGTGTAATCCTAGCACTTTGGAAGCTGAGACAGAAAGATCAAGAATTAGAGGCCATCCGGGTCAAATAAGAATCCTTGTTCTGATCCTTTTCTAGTTCATGAGCTGGGTTCTCACACGCTTGCGTGATATATGCCTCCCCCTTTTAACCTTGTTACGACGTGGGCACATTACCTGATGAGAAAAAAAAAAAAAAAAAGAACCCTTGTTCTCGAACAATGTTAGCAAATCGTTAGAAAAAATCATGTCAATAGTGAACAGAACAAAAAGGAGAGCTTTGCAATCTATCAAAAGAGAATTAAACAATTCTTAAAAGCACTTTGGTTATTAAGACTAAAGATAGTAGGGTGCTGGTGGCTCATGCCTGTAATCCTAACTATTCAGGAGGCTGAGATCATGCATGGTTCAAAGCCAGCCCCGGCAGGAAAGTCCGTGACTCTTACCTCCAATAAATCACCAGAAAACTGGAAGTGACATTGTGGCTCAAGTGGTAGAGTGCTCACCTTGAGCTGAAGAGCTCAGGGATAGTGCCTAGGCCTAGAATTCAAGCCCCAAAACTGACCAAAAAAACCAAAACAAAACAAAACACCACACACACACCAAACCAAAAAAAGATAATGAAGGGTTTAGTCCATATTTTTTTCTTTTGTATTTATACTGAGACTTCAACTCAGAGTCTAACTAAGCTAGTCTGCTCAGCTGGCATCCTACTACTTGAGCCACACACACCTCCAGCCTGGCATTTTGCTGGTTACTCGGACATCTAGTCTCTCAGACATTTCTGCCTAGGCTGGCTTGAAACAAGATCCTCCAGGTCTCCGCCTCTTGATTATCTAGGATTACAGGCATTTTCTTTTTAAAGGAATATCCTTACAGCTTTATAAATTAATTTATCTTGTAGTTATTTTTTTAGTAACATTTCTAAAATGTATATAAAGGAGAGGACATGAAAGGTAATAAAGGTTTTTTTTTTTACCAGCATCTGGCATGCAGTTGATTTTTCTTCTAGTCCTGCAGTTTTAATACCAAAACTTTGCTGGTCTCCAAGGTTCACAAATTCCCAACCATCGTCATCACTCATATTCTCCATGTCTTGGGCTAGTAACAGAGAAAACAAATAAATGCATATAAGAACTGCAGAGCCAAATACTATAACTCTGTTACCGGTCCTTACAAAGACACCTACTGTCTAAAAGGGCCACTTCAGGCTTAATTGAAGCTGTCTTCATCAAAGGGCCCATAACCACCGGAAGGTACTGCTGAAATTCTTTTCCAAGGATTTTGCACATTCTGGCCCATGCTGAGATCATGTAAGAGATCTGGGAAAAGAATTAAAACACATTTAAAAACAATCAGTAAGGAAGATAATCAAAGTCATTCCCTGTCATTGAAATAATGTTTGTTTTTTTTTGGGTCCAGGTCATGGGGCCTGAACTCGGGGCCTGGGCGCTGTCCCTCAGCTCTTCAGCTCAAGGCTAGCGCTCTACCACTTAAGCCACAATGCCACTTCCGGCTTTTTTCCTTTTGCTTATGTAGTGCTGAGGAATCGAACCCAGGGCCTCAGGCATGCAAGGCAAGCGCTCTACCACTAAGCCACCTTCCCAGCCCCTGAAATAATGTTAGTGTTATGTTCATCAGCTTTAATAAATGCATTTCTAAAGATCACATACTAATGTATTCCAATCAGTAATGAAATCCTACACACTCTTATCCATTGGGACAGGACCAGCAAGTAACGTGAATCATTTCAAGAAATTGTAACTACTTTCCTTACTGCCTGGTATCCCACTTATAAATGTCAATAAAACCTAACAAACACAATTCCCACCTCTTGCTTTAAAGGAAGTCTTAATTAAGCCAGTGCTGGTGGCTCACGCCTGTAATCCTAGCTACTCAGGAGACTGGCACAAAGAAAAAAAAAGTTTTAATTGCAAATGTTCATTCATTCAACAAATATACATGGCTATTTTCCAGGTGCAAGGCATTCTACTACTGGCTGATGCAAAGGGAACAGCCACTGTCCTCTCCACCTTCCTCACAGTGTACAGCAGGTCCTGTCCTCTCCCCCTACCATTCTACCCCACCCTCCCCACTCAGCACTGGACCCCCACTGACCTGTTATAGCAAGTACATGTATAGTTTCATATTCACATACTGCCTAGGAAAGAAGCAAGCACCTAAAGGAATGTGCTTCCTTAGCAAAATGATTAAGATGAAAGTAGAGCTGTGGCTCAAGTGGTAGAGTGCCAACCGTGAGCAAAAGCAGCTCAGGGCCAGTGCTTAGGCCCTTTGTTCAAGGCTAGGACAAAGAAAAAAGCAAAATGATGTTTCCCTATTTTAACTACTGGGAAACAGCATGGTAACACTAGTAAGTACCTTGTTATATGTCAGGCATTAGAAATACCTTTAAGATTATGACATAAGGGCTGGAAAGGTGGCTCAGTGGTAGAGCACTTGCCTTGCATGGACGAAGCTCTGGGTTCAATTCCTCAGTACCACATAAGCAAAAAGAAAAAAGCCGGAAGTGGCACTGTGGCTCAAGTGGTAGAGTGCTAGCCTTGAGCTGAAGAGCTGAGGGACAGCGCCCAGGCCCAGAGTTCAGGCCCTACGACTGGACCCCCCCCCCCCCAAAAAAAAAAGATTATGACATAAGACTGAACTAATCAGGAGACTCATACTGAGAAATGTATTTAGCCAGGTGTGTGTGTGTGTGTGTGTGTAGTTCCTAATTGATGAAATGTACACCTGCTCACAGGCAGAGAGAGCATTACAGGTTTTGAGTTTCTGCATTTCTCTTCTGACACATCATGTGGTACTCAAAGAGCTGACAGACAGCTGAGTGGAGATATTCAGTAAGTGGTTGATAAATGAACCTTGGAAGATTTACACAGTACACACAGGAAGTCTGTAGCCATGACTGAATGTCACTGGTTTTGGGAGTGTGCATAGGACAAAGCTCAAGAGCGACACAACTTGACAGAAAGAGAAAGCAGGAGACACTGACAATACACTGAGAGAATTCAGCTCAAAAAGCAGGAGTGAATAGTAGTGTATAAACAAAGCAGTCACACTGGGTTGGGAGTGTGGCTTAGTAGTAGAGTGTTTGCCTGCCTAGCATGCATGAAAGCCTTGGGTTTGATTCTTCAGTACCACATAAATAGAAAAGGCTGTAAGTGGTGCTGTGGCTCAAAAGTGGTTAAGTGCTAGCCTGGAGACAAAGAAGCTCAAGGACAGCAGCTAGACCTTTAGTTCAAGTCCCAAGACTGGAAAAAAGTCTGTGCTATTCACAGACCAAAGCTAATGCAGCTAGCTTCGCCTGCTTACCTGAGGGTCATCATCTTCCATATCATTGAAGTCTGTCTGGGTCTTCAGCAACAGCTGCATCACATCTGATGCATCCTGCATGAACTAGACAACATATGGACAGAGCAGTGTTACCAGTGTGCAGCACATCACAGAGGCACTTCCTCACACTTCATTTTGTTTTTTGTGTTAAACAAAGCTACAAAAACAAAATCTATACTTTTGCCAGGCGCTGGTGGCTCCTGTCTGTAATTCTAGCTGGAATGTAAGGATCACGGTTCAAAGCCAGCCCTGGGAGGAAAGTCTATGAGACTCTCAGCTCCAATTAACCACCAGAAAACAATACAGAGGGGAGAATGTACTTTTCCCACAAGTCAAGCCCCATCATTAAAATTATTATAGCAAGAAATTCTTATTCTTGAAGCTAACTTAATTCTTATTCTAGGAAAATATACTTCATGTTTCTAATGGCATATATGTTTCAAGCAGTAAACAATTCAAATCTATCCAAAATTTTTTTAATTGCTCTACAGAATTAAGAGCATGAAGATTTTATGTATTTTACGTTCAACTGACTGTGTAGTTCTGGCAATCTTCATTTATAATCAAGTGAAAAGCCAGATGTGGAGACATGTGCATGTCTGAATATAGTCTGAGTATCTCACAGAACTGAATCTGGAAATTGCTTTGGACAGACTACACAGAGAAATTCCATGTTGACAGTGACAAGGGGCAGGTGGAAAAGTTCAATGCGAAGTTCTTTCGGATCAGCTCGAACTACTCTGAGGTGTTTGGCTGAGAACCACAGACCTGCCAATGGCTCTTGATGTTCATCACTTCCCTCCCAGGACACTTGATGCCTTTGGATTTACCAGGAAAGCAAGTACATACACATGGAGACCAAACTCTATGTGCCTCTTGGGAAAGATAGACTGAATGGTAGATGGGAAAGAAAAAGGTAGTTATGAGCATAACTGAGGTGTGTTTTTTTTGGGGGGATACAGGTGGGGGTAGAGGCGAAGGAGCAGGTTGTGGGGCTTGAACTCAGAGCCTGAGCACTCTCCTTGACCTCTTTTGCTCAAGGCTAGCACTCCACCACTTCCAGCCACGTCTGATATCCTGGTGATTAACTGGAGATAAGTGTCTCATGGACTTTCCTGCGCAGGATGGCTATGAAGCACAATCCTCAGATCTCAGCCTCCTGATTGCTTAGGACTATAGGTGTGAACCACTGGCACCTATAACTGAGTTTTGAGAAATGCAGATAATTACTTATATGTAAAACAGGAGTAATCTGAGAAGGAAAAATACCCTTGCTTACTACCAGAAGGCAAAACATCTCCATTATCTTCAATGCCCCATGGGCAGACAAAATAAACTTAACACATGACTATAAATCACTTACTTTTTCCTTCCCAACAGCCAGACCAATAAGGCTGATGCATTCGATAGTTTTTCCTCTCAGAAGTCTAAGTTCCTTCTGCACTGCATTCTCAACAATGTGCTTCAGGGATGGCATAAATAAATCATAATAAGGGACAAATTTCTCTTCTGCAGTATCTGCAACTGACGCAATGGATGTCACAACTTGTTCCAAAACTAACTTGGTGCCTTTCTGTATCAGCTATGAGAAAAGATGCACAAAATAAATGGAATGAAAAACTGGAAGAAATATTTAAGTTGCCACTACCCCCCCCCCCCCCCATGTTCTTGTTTTTCTAAACTGCAAGAAGCTTTCTAGAAGCTAAAAATGCAGAAACTACAGTATATTCTCATAAAAACTAAATTATGATGAACCATTTATGTAGTTCCCGCTCCTCCCCCTAACCTAGTACCCATTACTTGTTTGTTTTTTGGTCTTATTTAAAAGCACAGCTGTTTC